TGGAATTTGGTACACGTATCAGATTCGTCGTCCGCGGCACAATGGAGCCGCGTTTACTGTTGAAAATACCGATGCGAAAGTAAGATCGATAGGCTCGTTACCCGTGCGTTAGAACCGTTCCCTCCTTCTATCTTTCTAGGCTTCTTCTTCTCTAGCAAGGTTCACGGTTCTAGTATTTTCGCGCATTGTCGGAGACGTACATCATCTCTCTCCGCTTGCCTCTGTATTCAGCTCCCATTCTAGCTTTGTGAACCGTAACACGCGAAATATTCCGACGAACGCGAAGCGAACTTCGCGTTCCTTGTGAGCGTGGATGATGATAGCGGCGGTGGTGGTGGTGGTGATGGTCGTTGTCGTTGTTGGCCGGGTAATATCACTGTTTGCCTGAACGAGGGACGGACAGAAGAGGCTCGGGAGTGTGAGTGTGCGAGCGCGTCTTTGTGTGCACGACGCTTGAAAAGCCGCCTTGAAGAGCCAACACAGTAGCTACATAATGGATTAAGCCACGTCCTCGTTGACGAGCCACGAACCGACAGGAAAATCCGTGATAATGTGGTTACAAGAACCATTCTCCTCGCGTCTCCTTTTCATTTCGGCGTATCAGCCAACTAGCTGAAGAAATCTAGTATCTAGCTAGAACCACCAAAGAGAAAAGGTTATCAGATCACCATACGTTGGGAAAAAGATTGGCAAAGTCTCTGTTTCTTAAGTTCATGCCTCTCGTTCCGAGCGTTCTCTTTTGTCCGCGATGATTCCGCGAGAATAATGTATAGGGCAAAATGCCCAAATTTCGCTCCCCCTCCTTCGCCAAGCATTTTTAGCATTTATTTTAAAACTGAATCGCTTCTTTTGTTGGCTGATTCGAAAAGATTCGAAGATCTTTCATCAATGTTTGGTAAAAGTTTGTAGAAAATTAATGTGTAAGTAATTAGTTCTAATGGGATGAAGGTTGAAAGAACGTCATATTATTTCCTCTTTTTATGTATCTAAAAAATATTTTATTGATAAAGATATACATAAATAGAACTAAAATTATGAGAATTTGTACAACAATCACATACAAAGCTTGTTTTATTTGTGTTGTGAATGTGTACAGCGACTCGTGACATCATCGGAAACAGTCTGGATTTTCAAAATTTGACTGAAAATGTTCTGGTTTTCTCATACTACCAAGGCTGGGATGTCTTTCTAAAAACAATCATAGCCATTTTCGACCAGCTTGTTACGACATTGCAGAGAACGGATGAGGCAAATTATTCTTCAGAGCCATATGTTGGAAGGCCATACGTCTTATATTTTCTACAGCCTGCTCGTTCCATTTTCATACAGTATTCAACTAACATTTTCCTCAACTTTTTTCTTAAAATTCTTGGCTGTACGATATTTTTTTCTCGCTAGTTCTTCAGACGATTGCAATTGCGATTTCACGTAAACTTTTAATGTGGTTCTTGATACTTGAAAGGCTTTTGATTCTGCCTTGTACTTTCTTTTCCTTCATTGCGTTAACAGCATTAACTATATCCTCAGAATTCTACACGTTACGTTTTTCCATCTGAATAAACGTCTAAATAAGTTAGTTAATTTTCATAGCGTTTATACTCGTCATGAAGAAGAAAAATATATTCCTAATATCGTCTCCGGGACGATGTAGAAGGACGAAATTAGGCACAAAGCCATTTTTTAATATGGATAGAAAGTTCCACTTCAGAATATAAAACAATATATTATATTGGATATGAAGCAATATATTATACATTAAGTAAAAGATAATCGTACAATTAGTTACCTTAGATGCTGAAATACGTCTTCGAATATTGACAGAATATATTACAGTGCGTATTCTCCACGCGTATAAATAAAAGACTGCAGAGACGATGAATTCATTTGTTTTCGTCGCCAGTTCACTACGTTTCTATTACAAATTACTACAGAGATCAACCGGGGAATGAAATTTGAATACGCTACCCTATGTATTACACTGAATACATCTTCGCTTTATATCGAATTAACATTTGTTACCTTCTTGAAATTCGCCGAAATCACTCTCGGGGAAACGAGGATACTCGCGGTAAGAATATTTACGCGGCCGAAAATATCGGAGCTGCGATTTATATTCTGCCGCGAATCGGTGCGAAGACGGTGCGTTCTCCGTTCGACGATCCCGCCGGGAACAAAGGGAGCGCGGATCGGTCGTCGTTGAGTCGTGTAATTGTTCGTTTTAACTCCGAAAAACTGGGTGGAAAATGGTAGCTGCGATTGGCAACGTCCCGGAGGATCGCGCGACGCTTTCGCCGAACCGACAATGCCACGATCACTACGAGCCCGACGTGGGTCCCCTTTTGCTTCTAATTAATTACAGCTAATTACGTTAATTGGTCCAACTAACGCGATCGCACCGTTCCACGGAGCATCGCATTCCTCGGTCTCTTACGTCGTCGTCACTCGTTACGAAGGCTCCGTGCGTTTCTGCCTTCTGCAGATGGACTCTTTTTACATTCGTTCCGCGTATCGTTGTTAACAACCGAGTATTTTTATTGTAACGCCGATGGCCACCGGTGTATCGTATTCCAATGATCATCGCCGATCGAGGGTTTCCGATAGCCTTGTAAACGCGCGCGCGTACGTTCCGGCCCGAGGCGGCGTGCAATACCATTAGGAAGGAAAATGTAGTTACAGCGTTCGAATTTCACGGATCGAACGAGGGGGGTTGGTTCCGATCGTCCTCTCGAAGACCGTCCCAGCGGAACCCTTATTTGTTTTTCATGTATGCTACGAAACGACACGTGTTCCTGCATTATTCGGTTGCCACGGTTCGCAATCGGCCGTGCTGGGCAGGACCGGATGGACTTTTTACCGCCACAAGTACATATCCAGAAGATAGTGGGAACGAATCGCCGGATTGATGCCTTGACGTCAGTCAATGGCTATCTGATAATTGAAGATTCGAGGTAATGGCGGAGCGTAGCCGTGTAAATATCGAATCACACGGAGTGTATCGTATCCTGTTCTGCCCTCCGCATCGCAGCCTTGTGTCGTAACTAACGCTTCCTCCTCGAATACGTTATAAATCATTTCCCGTACGGGGTCTCTGGTTCAATTATTTTCCTCGTCGATCTCGCTTCGATTCCAGTTTCTTTCCCCGCGTCCCGATCTCCTGCCCGTCGGCCGTGATTTTTCAAACGCGTCCGCTCCACTCGACTCGCGTGATTAATTTACTTGAGAGGAGCTTTCTTTTCGCGGCGGAACGCGGCTGGGAACTCGTTCCGCCGAGATCGTCCTGTGAAATTCAACCTCGACTCGTAATAAATGTGTGTCTGAAAAATTCTGCCGAACTAACGAACGTACCTATTTTCGAGAGGTCTATCGACGAGTCAGGATCCTCGCGCTAAGTGGTCCATATATACGCCATTCGCAGCTGTACAAATACACACCGACGAACACGGTAGTTGGAATTTCGGAAGGTGACGTTCGGAACGTGCGACGATGACAGAATATTCACATTATTTTATCGCGTGGCGATTACGCGTTAACGAATCGGCACGTTAATCAGTTCTGAGTCACTCTCGAGACACCCACGCTAATCCAGCCGCGTTATTTTGCGCGCGACCGTGGGACGTCGTTACTCCTCTTCTTTTTCTCTTTTTTTCTTTTTTTCTTTCTTCAACGTTCTCGCGAATGAATAAATGACCGGTTGGTTAAACGCGAGTACAATGGCACGGTTATAGCGCGATGCCTTCGTGTCTTTTGTGGCCGTCTTAACTCGATCAACTCGCCTCGCGTGAAACGTGTTAAGATTAGACTGTGCACGGGTCGCAGCAGTCGCGCGCTCGTTCGTTCCTCTTTCAGGGCAGCACGCCACCCTAAAATAGTTGCCGTGCACGGAGGGCGTGTTCAAGGTGAAGGTTAAAGTCCCGTTCAATGCTAGAGGGGTGATGCGCTGACAGATTGAAGTCTCGCCGAGGGTCGAATCCCAGTCGAATCACACACGATCGATGCGAACTGCGCTGTTGGCTTCCTCGCAGCGAGCTCGTGTCGTTTCCGATCGCTCGCAAACGAACGTTTCGATCGTACGTTCGCCATTTCATGAATTTATCGTCGCGAAGGGAGTAAATAAAAGTGAAGTCTCTCTACGAAAGTAGGTCGCGCGAACTAGTAGCATAAAACTCAAGGTTGACGAATTTGTCAATGAAACGCGGTACAGTGATGATAGATAAGATGATGATGGACTTGTCGAACTTGAACCCTCTACAAGTATTTCGAAGCAAATAGCTGTACTTGAATGCGATGGATTCGAACTATCTGCGAGAGTACTTAGTGATATTGAGAAAAGTATTGTAATAAGTAATAGGTTTGAACTCTTACGAATATTCGAAATCGTTCATTCTGGAAATAGTATTTTCTTAAAATCATTTATAATCATTTTCATTACAATTTCGATGCATAATTTAATTGTTAATTATTGGTCACGTCCGTCTTACGTATACGATAATATTCAATTTTCCTAAAAATTATGTTTCAATCTGCGCATAATGGTAAAGCGTATTTTCTAAACTTCAAGAATATTATAAATAAAAAAGAAATATATTGCAAATATGTACTGTAAATTAAATATTATTTCTAGACAGTTCTAAATGCAAACATTAAAATAAAATTTATTAGGTGCAATGTGCTTTTTTACCTTTCGTGGCACGACTAGTACTTGTAAAAAGATTCGATTCATTTTGATATCGAGATACTTGTAAATATTCGTTCTGAGGTTAGAAATTAATTTGCAAAGATCGAATATTTCGCAAGTACTGTAACGAATTTTATCAATAACATTCGAACCCTGTGAAACGAACTTTGCATATTGGACTCGACTGGGATTTATAAATACATATTAAATTTGATCCCATCATCTGATATGGATGGTCCATACGTAGAAACATGTTATCACTGTTTCTTGCATAGTATTCGATACATACTGCCATGAAAATGGCAGAAAAATGATAACTTTTCTCCGAATGAAAATTTTTGCAAAAAAAAAAACATATATTATTTGGCCTTACTTACATTGATGGATCTTCTCTATGTCAGAAAATACAATTTTATAATTATTTATAAAGGTAAATATTTTTTATGAAAATAGTATAATTTTAAGTTCGCCTCTACGATTCTGAATCTCCGAAGGTTCTTTACAAATGTTAAGAAATAATTCTTCATTCGAGTCATTTTTCATTATTACATATTCTTGAATTCCATCATAGTGAGTCTTCTTTATTTTAATCGACTTTCGTCGTATACTGCAACTGCGGAACTGCAATTTAAGATAAAAAAGAATGAATCGTTAGCCCTTATTTGTATCTTTCCTCAACTGACTTCTTTCTGTTTGACTTTTGAAAACTTTCCCCGAAAGGTATTTCGTTTTCGAATATAACGATATCGGCTACTTTCTCACTTTGAGCAAAGTTGGACAAACATAAAGTTCGGTGTACACAGAATCAGTGTAGAGGAAATCATGATGGTGCTTTTTGATACTTTTTTAAAAACTCATTTCGAAATTGATAAAAATTACATTTAAAAAAATTTGTCATTAATAGATTAAGATTTCCCAGTAGTTTTAAAAGTCTCACAATGTAATAAACTCATCCTACGAAAATAAAGATTAAAGAAACAAACGTGTGTGTAGCGACAGGCGTTTTGAAAAGAATGCGTCAGCTTTTTACATTTAATTTCATGCTGCAATTTTAACAGTAAACTGATATATTTTACAAAAGTTACAAGTAACATCACAATCCACGTTACTAACATTTTCATGACACGAGACTTTGTACGTTGGAACGTTTCACTTTTCTGCATTGAATCGAACACCCGTGAGTCGGGTTAAAACGAGACCTTAAAATAGTACGAGCGCGTGGCATGGTGTGCAGCCGGTGTTCGAGGTTAAGGTTAAGGCTGTATCGCACGCGGTAACGCGTCACTACAAGGGCAACGCGAAGACCACTCGAAAGAGACGAATACGAGTTTTATTTAATCTCGCGTCTGACACGGGTCACTATCATCGGGTAACATCATCCTCGATAAAACTATTGGAAACAGCGCCTAGCTTTTTCATCTCTCGGCCCTCGATCTGTTCGACTTCACGTGGGAAGGCCCAACAAAATCATAGTCGTAAAGCTCGCGACAGAGAAATTCGAGCGTATCGATATAAAATATAAAAGGCACGATATATAGATAAAAAGGCAGCGATAAAAAATTGGTTGACACTCCCCCGTGGTCTGCGGGCGGATTTCCATTTCACGGCGGCTACGTTCGACTAGCTTCTGAAGCGGGATGGAAGGCTAAATGGGACCGAGCTGATATATTCAGGTTCCGGTTTCGCTATGCTTGGTTGAGTACTTGGTCGAGTTGGCTTGCTACGGGCTTCAGGGGAGACACGCCTAATGTGTATTCCTCTGTGCTCGTAAACGCACAACATTGTATCCGATCGCTTCTTTTTTCTTTCTTTCTTTCT